CATGAGGAAGATTTTGTGGTCAAATGTCTTTGTCTGTGACAGTAGTGGCTTGAATATACAGCAAACTAACATTGGCTCAGGTTTCATCCTTCTTGTATAGGAACGACAATAGAAGCAGCTAAGAAACTCGATCACTTCTACTGCGAAGAGTGTTCCCCACAACAAGAGTTGCTGCAGAACTCTAATTCAACTTCTAAACACACAGATGCTAAGGTATTTCTCTTTCTCTCATTTATTAAGCACGTGTCTGGCTTCGAACTTGGTAGCCGGCCCATGTAGGACTAGACCTGCCAACAATAATAAGCTCTTGGCCTGATTAAACCAACTTGAGACAAAAAAAAAAAAAAACTAGAGTATATGTCTCGTTATATAGGCTGAAAGAAAAGAAAAAGTTTTTAACTAGTTGGTTTGACAAACAGGTTAATACAAAACGCAGCCTGGAGGTAAGCAAGCCGAGGAACAAACACACAAAGCGATCGGGTTAACATCAAAACCCGTAAAAGCTAGAACTGGGGTGAGTTGAGTATCAGATCACGGTGTAATATATTACATTAAGGTGTTTGATTTCTTTCCCCCTCTAGATTTTTTTCTTAAGAATGAGGGTTTTTAGGTCGTTGAACTGGCTTGATTGGTGTGACTTTGTTGTGGTATAATCCTTATGTATAGTATATGGTTTCATCTCCTTTGGTTGTGTGACATGAAATTGTGTGAAAGACTTGTTTATAACACCAAAATTGAGAGAGCTACCTAATTGTTTGTTTCTTGATTGAGAATTCTATAAAGAAGTGGTAATCATTCATAACCAAAAGGTCCAAAACTAATATCCAAATTGCAGTAGTTGAATGGTAAGGATTTAAGATTTACACCACGAGGTATTTAAAATCGCAGTACTAGAACATTTTTATCATCATGTCTTCAAGGTTTATGGATTCAAGTTTCAAATCCAAAACCACGAGGAATTAGAAACCAATACTATAATTTTAGTACACATTCTTCTCAAGATGTTTTGGTTCTCAAGAGAAGACAAACAAAGTGCAACTAACTTTTCCACTTTTGTCGCGAGAAAGTTGAGAAAATTAAACTATTTTAAAATATACTATATATTTTTTTTTATCAAATTACTTTTCTACAACACGACACGGCTCTCTAACAAGTTGAGCCTTATCTTATTCCACAGCCAGTCAATGATTAACACGTGTTGATACACCATTGGTTAAACTCTCCTTTTCCCCCTTGGATGAGCAATCCTTTAAATATCTTCCGATTTCTCCGACTAAAATTAGTACTATAATAACTAGGGTTAGATTCGCGTGTTGCGCGAATTTAGTTTTTTTTGATTTTTTAGTGCAATTT